TCTTGTGCATACTGTATTTATGTAAATTGTGTCATAATTTGGCATCGGATTGCCATTGATGGGTTTAGACAGGCAGTCCAATTCTGATATTTTTTTTCACTAATTAGTCTTTTGACCATTCATATCAGTTCTGAAAAAGATCTGATGTGAAAAGATCTGATGTGATTGGTCAAAAGACCAATTAGTGGAAAAAATATCAGAATTGGGCTACCTGTCTAAAGTGGCCGATGTATTGTCGAATTTGTGAAATAAACCATCCTATATCGAACCTTGGGCTCCCGAGTGGCGCAGCGGTCTAAGGCACTGCATCTCAGTGCTTGAGGCGTCACTACAGACCCCCTGGTTCGATTCCAGGCTGTATCACAACCGGCCGTGATTGGGAGTCCCATAGTGTGGCGCACAATTGGCCTTCTTAACTGACTTGCCTTGTTAAATAAAAATAAAATAACATATATAGTTTGGCCAGTAGATGGAGCCAAACTCTTATTTTCAGTCCTCCATCCTTACTACAGTCGGTCTACATTTACATGTTAGTCATTTAGCAGACGCTCTTATCTAGAGCGACTTACAGTTAGTGAGTGCATACATTTTTTTTTCATACTGCCCCCCCGTGGGAATTGAACCCACAACACTGGCGTTGCAAGCGCCATGCTCTACCAACTGTCATTGTTAGCAGCAAGGTACGCTCATTAATTAAACTTATCATAATATATCCACCCAAAGGATGCACAGTATCTACAGTGGGGAAAAAAAGTATTTAGTCAGCCACCAATTGTGCACGTTCTCCCACTTAAAAAGATGGGAGAGGCCTGTAATTTTCATCATAGGTACACGTCAACTATGACAGACAAATTGAGGAAAAAAAATCCAGAAAATCACATTGTAGGATTTTTTATGAATTTATTTGCAAATTATGGTGGAAAATAAGTATTTGGTCACCTACAAACAAGCAAGATTTCTGGCTCTCACAGACCTGTAACTTCTTCTTTAAGAGGCTCCTCTGTCCTCCACTCGTTACCTGTATTAATGGCACCTGTTTGAACTTGTTATCAGTATAAAAGACACCTATCCACAACCTCAAACAGTCACACTCCAAACTCCACTATGGCCAAGACCAAAGAGCTGTCAAAGGACACCAGAAACAAAATTGTAGACCTGCACCAGGCTGGGAAGACTGAATCTGCAATAGGTAAGCAGCTTGGTTTGAAGAAATCAACTGTGGGAGCAATTATTAGGAAATGGAAGACATACAAGACCACTGATAATCTCCCTCGATCTGGGGCTCCACGCAAGATCTCACCCCGTGGGGTCAAAATGATCACAAGAACAGTGAGCAAAAATCCCAGAACCACACGGGGGGACCTAGTGAATGACCTGCAGAGAGCTTGGACCAAAGTAACAAAGCCTACCATCAGTAACACACTACGCCGCCAGGGACTCAAATCCTGCAGTGGCAGATGTGTCCCCCTGCTTAAGCCAGTACATGTCCAGGCCCGTCTGAAGTTTGCTAGAGTGCATTTGGATGATCCAGAAGAGGATTGGGAGAATGTCATATGGTCAGATGAAACCAAAATATAACTTTTTGGTAAAAACTCAACTCGTCGTGTTTGGAGGACAAAGAATGCTGAGTTGCATCCAAAGAACACCATACCTAATGTGAAGCATGGGGGTGGAAACATCATGCTTTGGGGCTGTTTTTCTGCAAAGGGACCAGGACGACTGATCCGTGTAAAGGAAAGAATGAATGGGGCCATGTATCGTGAGATTTTGAGTGAAAACCTCCTTCCATCAGCAAGGGCATTGAAGATGAAGCTTGGCTGGGTCTTTCAGCATGACAATGATCCCAAACACACCGCCCGGGCAACGAAGGAGTGGATTCGTAAGAAGCATTTCAAGGTCCTGGAGTGGCCTAGCCAGTCTACAGATCTCAACCCCATAGAAAATCTTTGGAGGGAGTTGAAAGTCCGTGTTGCCCAGCGACAGCCCCAAAACATCACTGCTCTAGAGGAGATCTGCATGGAGGAATGGGCCAAACCAGCAACAGTGTGTGAAAACCTTGTGAAGACTTACAGAAAACGTTTGACCTGTGTCATTGCCAACAAAGGGTATATAACAAAGTATTGAGTAACTTTTGTTATTGACCAAATACTTATTTCCACCATAATTTGCAAATAAATTCATTAAAAATCCTACAATGTGATTTTCTGGAGAAAAAAAAATCTCTTTTTGTCTGTCATAGTTGACGTGTACCTATGATGAAAATTACAGGCCTCTCTCATCTTTTTAAGTGGGAGAACTTGCACAACTGGTGGCTGACTAAATACTTTTTTTCCCCACTGTATGTACAGTTGATGTATGAACTGTGATGTGATTTTTGTCTGCAGTTTTATTCAGCATGATGCAACACTGATATGCATGTCAATCTCTCATGGCTCAAAGTGGAGGAGAGATTGACTTCATCACTACTTGCTTTTGTAAGAAGTGTTGACAAGCTGAATGCACGAGCTGTCTGTTTAAACTACTAGCACACAGCTCAGACACCAATGCATACCCCACAAGACATGTCACCAGAGGTCTCTTCACAATCCCCAAGTCCAGAACAGACTATGGGAGGCGCACAGTACAACATAGAGCCATGACCAGCTCATTTGTTTATGAGTTCGGTAGAGGTCTGGTGACATGGAAGACTTTCCGCTGCGTAACCAGGCAGGCGGGCTCAGGCTGTAGATGGCGCAATGAGACAACACAAAACATGGAGAAATGTAAGCACTCTTAAATTCATAGACAGATATTGTTTTGTTTTGAGAGGCTATACAGTGTTTGTTTACATTTACATTACTTACAAACATTGGAGCAAAACAAGCTTATATTTTGGGTTCTGATGGGGTACGACAGTTGAACTAAGCTCATGAGTCATTTATAAGTTATATTCTTCAAGAATCAATGGGTATATATAATTAATTTTAAGTCCAAAAATGGATGTAGCAACTACGTATTCTTGCGTTAAAGGGGCAATACTTAGTTGCTACATCTATTTTTGACTTAGAAATTGACGAATATAACGTATTAATGCCTCATGAGCTTAGTTCAACTGTCATACCCCATCAGAACCCAAAATATAAGCTTTTTTGTTTTCCTCAAATGTTTGTAAACAAAGAAAATGTAAACAACCACTGTATAGCCTAAAAACATGACAAAAACATGATTAAAACTATAATTTTGATATCATGTATGGTCAGTCCTTGCATCCATAGCGTAGTCTATGGATTTGAGAGTGGTTGCACTCAGCTTTTTACTGAAACCATGACCGGAAAACACTTTGTTAATGTTTAATTAAGGATTGCCGGTTTAAACAGAAATGAACTACTGTACTTAAACTCATCAAGTCTTCGGAAATAGTTAATAAGATTGTATTAAACATTAGCTGCCTTTGCTCTCATGAAGTCTATGGGTGAATATTGATATTGCAGCTCAGTGTCTGTGAAAACGACATTCAGCGAGTTGTGTAGCTGTAGGCCTGTGTCATTTCCCCATATTGTTGCTATACCATAAAATAAAATCCTTAGATTATCATCCCCTTTTTTCAAAATATGTAATGTTCCGCTTCAAAATAATCATAATTTTTAATGTCCAGTTATTAAATGGGAGTGTTGTATAACTTACCTAGATACTGTAATGTACTTTTACTTTGCCTTTTTACTAATGGCTTTTACGCGCAGTTATGTTACAAAGTGTCATCCTACCTCTTCTAATTACAAACAAGGACGTTGAATTAGGTTTTTTAAAGTAGGCCTGAGAATGCCAAATAATCGAATTTACTCTGACTCAACTCAAATCTCAAATTAGTTAATCACAAATCTCCAGAAATTATCAACAAGGATAATAGGCCTAATAATAATAGTAAATACTGGTTATTATTAATATGTTTATATTGATGAATTCTGGTTAATGGTTAAGGTTAGATATGGGTTATGGTTACGGTAAGGGTAGGGGTTAAGGTTAGGGTTAGGGTTTAGGGTATGGACGTACCAAGGATACCGCATATATGCAATGTGTTGCACAATAGAGGAAGAGGCAAAACGAGAGGTTTTACTCCGCCCAAGATCTGTTCACGAAAATAAACCAACGAAGTGAGGAATTTTTGAATGGAGGTCAATGAGAGTGTCGAATTTGGTCAGCAAAAATATTGTATTTCTAATATGTTTGACTGTAAGCTTTTTAATGCTAAAATGAATGGTTGAATGTTCATTCGAGTCTTGTCAACCTCACTCTCTAACCGGAGCTGAATTTGCGGTTAACATCCAATCCACCGACTACAGTCTTTCAATCAACAGTGGGCTACACTACAACTCTCCTCTAACCTGGTATTACCAGCCACTACAGTCCATTTGTTGCAGTGTATTTATATTTCTTAAAAATGTTACTTATATTTCTGAGAGAGTCAAGCAGGCAGGTGTAGCCTAAAATATATCAGTTTTATTGAAGCACCTTATGACAAAATTAAGCGAATCTCAAAGGGTATACAATAAGTGCAAATTTGTTGCAATGTGTTATACAAATATTTGTGTATGCGTAGGCTACATTTACTTTTATAGAACAGAGGCCTAGTTACATAAAATAGAGGCTATTTGTTTGCGCAACTAATGACAGCAAACACATTAGTCATTTTGAAACTTCTTTTGAAGAAAACCTTGGTTTCATTGTAAGAAGATTTGGTGCCTTCCTTAATTTCGTAAACAGTTGTTGCATAATACTGTCCTTCATTTAGGCTCATCAAGACGGTGAAGGCCACTGTAAATATACCATGATGTGAGAAGTTTTCCGGCTTCTCGGAAATAGGCTAGCCTATTGTCCCTATTATTCATTCTGATCAGAAAGATTAGCCAATTTAATTGCCATTTAACTGTCTTGGAATCAGTTTAAATTGTTTGATTTTGTGTTGATCAGATTCTCATCTCCGGCGCACGATTTGGGCTCCTTACGCACACTCCATGACGTGCTCACATCACACACGGTTTGACGTCTTGACAAAGGCTTTGGTGATGTTGGTGATGATGATAGTAAGATCCGCTGGCTGAAGGACGAAACGAGGAGATACCGTTAAAGTTCAGGAGAAAATCCTTCCTGTCACACATGGGTGAGGAGTGGCTCTGGTAGCGAGGGATCCCCACTGGAGAAAAGGAGAGAACAGTGAAGAACTCGTTTTTACTAAATCAATCAAAAATAAATGGACATTTAAACAAAAAAATAACCCAGTTAAGTCTGAGTTTCGTTTCAGAATATAGGATAAAGCCTTAATTATTGTGGGTTTTTACAAATAGGAATTCTGTAGCCTAAATATTATATCTAACAGAAGCATTCATGCATTAAATTGACTTTCTATATAAAAAAAATATATATATTATTCAGTGTATTGTCTATACACTGTAATGTAAAACTTTAAATTACATAGTAATTACGGTATTATAAACTAAAATACTCTGAAATGTTTTACTGCAGCATACTGTAAATGATGGTCCATTGTGGGGAAATGTTTTGGGCGGGGAAAGAATCACTGTATATGGTACTGTAATTCCACCCCATACCGTATCTTTGGCACGCCCAAAACCTTTTGACCACTAGTGGGTGCATGGTATTGTTTCTGGCTCATTAACATATTTTGAGGCATGCCTTGTAAGAGGCTATATTTTTTGGTACCTGTGAGTGAGAATGCTGTACCAATTTAACTCCTGTGGTTATAGTGCCCCATCAATTTGTATAGGAGACAGTAGAATGGCAGCAAATCTTAAACATTAAATGGTTGGGCATTTTGCCATGTCCTTTTGGTCTGTTTTGCCCTGTAGACGCTGCTAGGTTGGAAGCCTTTGTTAAAGGTCCAGTGCAGCCATTTTTATCTCAATATCAAATAATTTCTGGTTAACAACCTTACTGTGATTGTTGTTAAATTAAAATGGTCAAAAAGACACAGCTTAGCAAAAAGCAATTTCTCAAGCAATAATTTTGCTAGGACTTTCTGGGAGTGGTTTGAGTGGGGAGGGGAAAAATGAAAGTACCTGTTATTGGCAGAGGTTTGGCACTTCTTATTGGTCTATTAACTAATTTGCGGCATGGTGATGTCACCATGGAAGGCCAAAACTCCCTTCCACCAAAACAGGCTGAAATTTCAGGCGGCCTTTCCAAAAAGCTTTTACACTAAAAGGACATCTTTCACAATTTCACAGTATTATTGCAACCTCATAGTGTGGAATATGTATGCCTTAAACACAGGAAAATCATGTTTTTGACTAAACTGGGCCTTTAAGGCCTCTAGAAGTACAAGTGATATAAAACACCAAATATTAGTTAATATACTGTAATGTGTAAACACTTTACCTTGCAGCCAACTTGCTTGCACCAATCCCTTGTAATTACAGTAAAATACTGTAATACAAACCCCTCCCCTGAATGAATTTCATCCATTCATTCCAATTATGGAAGCATCTAGTTTTTACAGTATAATAGTACATTTTATGGTATTGTACTGTCATTACACAGTACTTTCTTTGATGCCGTATTTATATACTGTAATACGAAATGCCGAATTTTACTTGCCACTGTGCTGCCTGTAAACTACTGTCAAATTCACTGTAAACCATTTACAGTGTATGTAATTAGGCATATACCGTTTAACTATGTTTGAGTTGACACATCTTGGAATAATTTGGCCAGTAAACAATGTGAAGACTCCCACAACTCCAGATGCAGAAATTAATTTCATTGAATCTATAGATCAGACCTCAACTATTACGGCAGGGACTTGTTAATTAACTACGTCACGAAACATCCCTACCTCTGCATTTAGATATATTATTTATACTGTAAACGATATATTCCTCACTGTAAAATCGCTCATATTCTACAGTTCTATGGTCACTTTTCTATTTTGTATAATATATGTGAACTTTGTCAATTAATCTGTCTGTTTCGACTATATTCATTGTCTATTGCTAGCAGCACCAAGTAAAATTCTGGGTGTGTATAGACTACTTAGCGAATAAAAGTGATTCCGCGTATGTTTCGTAGACCTGTGATAACGTATTAATTGATGAAGAGGCAGAGAATTGCTGTACTTTTTAGTATAGGTAAAATAATGGAAATGCTCCCATGCTCCCCTCAGTATATCCATTCACGAGAATACCACTAACATTTAATTGAAAATCAAGAAACTGCATGTGTTAAGCCTATTTCCTCTTTAAAATATTCACATTTAACCATGCAATGATTTTAATGTACAATAGCTTATTTTGGAATTGTGCAAATTAGAGGCACAGAGCGTAGGCCTACACAAAATAGCTGAGCAAATATATGCTATGGATGCAACAAAAAGTGTACATTCGAGCAGCAGTCTTTAATTCAGAAATTAGCCTAATGGAAAACACTCAAGACTTGACTTCTGAATCCTTGCGTCTCTAATGTTTGTTTAGCTGAGTTGGTATACTTTTGCATTAGTGATAGTTTAATTATGTGTACACATATATTTGTCATTTAGCAGATGTCTTATCCAGAGCAATTTACAATTAGTGCATTCAATCGTATCAAGTACTACATTTTCCTTAAGTATTTAGCAGCAAAGTCTGTTTTAAATTGGGTGGGAAGGGGGGCAGCGTGATACTTTTTTAAGGTGGGCTACTCTTCAGAGGTGTAGGGCAGGGAAGATGAGCAGGGACTCCGCTGTCCTGACTTTAGGGTGGAAGCTTGTTCCACCATTGGGGTGCCAGGACAGAGAAGAGATTTGACTGGGCTGAGCGGAAGCTGCCCTCTCGTAGGGGTGGGAGGGTCACGATTATATTTAACCTAGAGAAAAGTTTAGTCTTACATTTCCAGTGTTTCGTCTTAAACCAGATAAAGTTAAGTTAGTTAAAAGTTATTTGATAGGCCTATAATAACCAAACAACGTTTTTGTTTCAGTGCTTTCTACACCAATTGGCCTCTATATCGGTCAGAGATTTATGAAAGATGATTTAGGTAACGGTGCTTATGTTTGATTGTCCGTTTCTCTTGCGGGCCATAGACACGTTACACTGTTTATCCCCGAGAGCTGCAGTACCAACATCACACGTGTTAATTCATAATTATATGGCCTTAAATCATTTTCAGACAAATTATGACATCTGTAAAATTAGAACAGCGGTCCTTTGTCATAGATCTGTATACGCAAGGCCAGCAACACAATCAGAGCGAGAAAGAGGGAAGAGAGGGAAAGGGGAGCGAGAGCGTGAGCCTCATCAAGGTCATAAGGACTCCAGATGTGAGGCATGCACGCGCAATGTCGGTGTTTCTGTCCAGGGGACTGCAGGCCTCTATCCTGAGGGTGCTGCCCTTGCGTCCCATTTTCAGAGACAACACACTGGCGGTGACTGACAATCGTTATGGGCCGTGTAGAGCCCGGTGAGCACAGATAAAGGCTTGTCTTCTAAATAGTTATGTGAAGTCGTAAAGTTTAACAAGCCTTGGAGTCTCCTGCGAGGTCTAGGCCTATTAGTTAGTTGAAATCATCTGCAGTGTGGTCCGACTCGCACAGCCTTTGTTTAGATAACCCCTGAGACCCCTCTGGCTTTAGAATAATTCCCCTCAGAAATCCATTGGACTTTTGTTAAAGCGTCGATAAATTAGAATCATGTAAAACAAGGTTAACATGAACTAAACGACATAGATGTTAAGGCAATCAACTGGCCGAGGGAGCGATGTGTAAAATCTACACAAAGGGGGCTACAGTTTCAATTATACCCCATTGCACCAATCTCCTTTCTAAACATGTATGTAAACAAGAACACAGCCCCCACATTATTCTTCCTAAGGCCTAGCCTATATTTCAGCAACATTTGTAACTATTTTGTTAATTTCAGTTCTTAGAAACTCTGTTTGCCCTTACATTTCCCAACTCATCTGAAGTGTCCTTCTAATTACCCATGCAGATTTGTAATGGTCCCTCAAAGAGGATTATTTCAGCCGGAGTCATTCAAAATGTTACCTTAATTCCACAACATAATATAGTGGGAAACTAATAATCTTAAATCCAATCAAATTACTTTAGCCCACAAAATATGGAAGCCATTTTGCCAGAAGACAAATTGAAATGTGAAGGAAATGCATCCACGTCAACCAGTCCTTTAAATTAGGCCTAAATTATATGAGACCTATCCATCTCCAACAGAGTTTTATAGATATATTACGAATGCAAGGTATTCCATATTTAGGCTGCATCAAACACACTAGACTACCGGTGGTTATTTTCTTTGCCAAAGCTTTGTTTAATCTGCCTATGTGTCACGTAGCCCAAGTAAGAATGATATTCTCTATTGACTATATGAAAGGCCAACTATACTTTTCACATACAAATCGAGAATTTTATAGGATATTACGCATTGCGTAATTGTTGTGGTTTTAGCCTCAAGAAAACAGCCTGACCAAAGAGCAAACTTGAGTTAGTAAATTGTCAACCTGCAAAGGTTTGTTTGCCATGTGTGTAACAAATGCACTACTTGTATATACCACTTTTTATAGGACTTGCTATGCTTGCCCAAGTGTATTTGGAATGGCAATATGTGTATGCTTAAACTCCCTATTACGCATGACATTTCAAACTATTTATTAACGCGTTATGACTTGACTCACACAGCATTTATTAGCCTACCTGAGATATCGGCGGTGTCCCTGGCGTTCTGGTGGAGGTAGCTCTGCTCCAGGGAATAGGGGGACATTCCGGAGTTTAGCCCAGAGGACGCCGAGCTGCTGGAGACCAGAGGCTGCTGCTTGATGTACGGGGAGCCGCCGGGAGACGCCCAGTGTCCGGCGCTACTGGCGTATGGAGAATGACCGTCCAACGCGCTGGCCATAGCCGTGGACGAGGGCACAGGGCTGCTGCTACTGTCCGGTCCACCGTAGTCCCCGTTGGACGTTACCGGACAGCTGGCCATATATGTGGACCCGGGGCTCGGGGACATGTGAGGTACGTGGTGGCCGCCGCTCATTCCGTCGTAGCCACCGGCCATGGAGTTGGTCATCATGTCCAAGTTGTAACCGTTGCTATGACAGGCCAGAGACCCAGAGGGCGCCTGAAAATCAAAGTTCTGCGGTAAAATGGACGTACCGAAGCCTATCCCGTTCATCATCCGGTAAATGGGCTTAAGGGCTTGGCATTTTCTCCGGAAGCCCCTGGGTCTGCGGCGGAACGAACCCTCTTCAAACATGAACTCGCTTGCCGGGTCGATGGTCCAGTAGTGGCCTTTCCCCGGCCTGCCTAGCCCTTTGGGCAGCTTGATGAAGCACTCGTTCAGGGAGAGGTTGTGCCGGACGGAGTTCTTCCAGCCCTGATAGGACCCTCTGAAGAAGGGGAACCGGGCCTGGAGGAACTGATAGACCTCACTGAGCGTCAGCCTCTTGGTCGGTGAGCTCTGTATCGCCATGACGATGAGCGCAATGTAGGAGTAGGGAGGCTTCTCCGGTCGCCTCAGGCCGGAGCTCGCCTTCTTGCCTTTGGCCCCGGACGAGGAGCTGTCCACCTCTGCCTGTGGGCTCATCATGGCGGGGTGCAGGACGCCTGAGGCTGGGCTGGACCTCAGGGGAGGCGGCGGGTCCAGCTGCTGCTGAGAGATCTCGGTCGTCATCTCTGCTCCACTAACACACAACCGCGGCTTAGATGAGCTGTGACCTTACCGGAGAGGGGAAAGCGGAGAGCGAGATATGGAGCAACAGATCTATAAAAAAAAAAAAACTGATGTCGCTTCGTCTCAACGTCCTCTACAAATCACACAAGCATTTGGTCTTCGGAATTCCACAAAAAGTGGTTGGAGAGGGAAAATCCTCGTTGGACTCTCCTATTTCGCAGAGAATGTGCAGCGAGTGGACAGTGTCAGAATGTGGGAGAGACGGTGTGGTGCAGAGTATCCAGTGAGGGCTCGGTATAACCCAGCGTTTTGCGGGGGTTCAGTCCGACCGAGGCTTCGGTATGGTTGGTTGTCACGGTGGCGGTGAGTGCAGCTCTGCGGCGCACCGGGTGGCCATCACCCTCCTTAATCCCTAGGGGAGGAAACACGAAGACTACTCGATTTACTGTGCGCTGCCGCTCAGCCAAACAAAATGCGACCACCTATCATTTCCTAAATCTTACCCCCCCCCCCATCCCCCTGTAATCAGTAACGACTAGAGCCCCCCCCCCCCCCCTCCCCTTCCACTGCCAAATCTGGCTCCTGTCCAGTCGTTGCAGCAGATTCATGCCCCTCGCTCTCCATTTCTCCATTCCTCCTTCCCTCTTCCACCCTCTCTCTCCTTCCCCTGCTCTCACTCTGACATATCAAATAGGCTACATGCAATTACGCCATCTATCAAACCTCCCCCAGATGTTCCAATCAACAGCGCCACACGGAACGCTCACAAGGTATAGAACTCCGTCGCTAACACTCTTCTTGCATGTTCTTACCATAAATTCAGATTGTTGCTAACTGCATTCTATAAACATTTTCTGTAACGATGAGGGTATAACTGTATAGGCCAGGGGTATTCAACTCTTACCCTACAAGGTCCGGAGCCTGTTGGTTTTATATTCTACCTGATAATTAATTGCACCCATCAGTCCCTCGGATCTTATGGTACAATTGTTTTTTGCCATGCAACAAGATAATGTTAGATATCAGATCCAGTATAGGCAGCGACACATTGAACTGTGCATAGAACTAACTGTGTAGGCTCATATAAATCATATACATCTCGTGAAATTAGTCCTATCTCGTGTTTGCCTAGTTCTCTCAGACCCAATCGTGAGAGTCACTAAGGAACCGATCCACATAGAAAACAAACTGTCGCGCGGTGCTGAACCGGGGAGGGGAGAGGAAGAAGTGGTGCTCTTTCTCCGGAGTGCATGCGTGTGTAAGCGGGGAGTTCTTCTGAGTAAATGACTTTGACATGAGTGGAAGCAGGCTTTTTCCATCAAGCCCAACCCTGGATACCACACACAGCGCTCCAGTTTCAGTTTACCGATCGGGCTCGAGCCGGTCCCTGGCAGGGAGATTCCCCTGGGCCCCGCGTTCATTAGAGCGAGAGAACCGAAATTAGGGGCACGGGCGTCGACAGCTTCCTCCCTTATGAAGACCGATCATAATACAGATTTGTCCAACATGATGAAATTATTTAGTCTTAAAAGATACTATAATCAACATCAATAATGACGACAATGAGAGAAATAGGATTTATTTCCATACACAAAGAACAAAACTTGACATACAAATGCAGATAACATTTCCATCCCATTAAGAGTTATTGAACTAATGATACTATTTATTGTAGGCCTGCATCATGCAGGCAGCCCGTTTAATAGGCTATTTATACTGTGATGACTTGTCGTTCATTTCGATATCGTTGTCTGAGTTTGATAGGCTACACTTTCTCGTTTTTCATTCTGCCACCCAATGTTATGAAAATAACACATTTTGGGTTCATTTCTATATAGACGAATATTAAATAACGCAATAATTTCCAGTAATTTATTTGCCTATTACTTTATTGTATAGGCTTCGTTTTTGTGAATAGACTGACTATTATATAGGCTAGTTGTTTACGTTTATAATCAAGATTTACAGTTTAGTAGGTCTATAAGCTATACAGCAATATACAAATAGACAATCTTTGTCCAAAAAATGTTAATGGGCTTAAAAGAATCTTACAACGTAAGATTTAGATGATCAATCTTTACTTGGGCCTATAAATCACATCACAATTCCCCCTGTGTATTTACATTTACATTTACATTTTAGTCATTTAGCAGACGCTCTTATCCAGAGCGACTTACAGGATGCCTCTTCTCCCTCATTTCATTTCTACCACATGGATTTGGTTTAGACTGAGCTTTACTTTATATTGTGCCGCTGAATTGAAACGATGAGAAGGAAAGAGTGAACAACTGTAAACAACCTTCGATCAGAATAGAAGAATCTTACAGCTGGGCCTAATGGGTTTCATTTCTGCGTTTACGATATGAACTTCTTAACTTGGGATAGTAGAGCTATAGAAAATAGACAGAAAATAGTGTAATAATCTAATCGGCTCCTCACCTCTTTGTGTATGTGCCACCAGCAATAACGTTTGCGCTTCACAACAAAGGATTTGCGGATAAAATCATTTCCCCACCACAGGCTAGGATTACATCCAATTAGCGACAGATTTTCATGCGCATTTTTCCACCAGAGATGTTTCCATCGAATTGGCTTGTTGTAGATGAAAGGCTGTGCGTGATGACGTAGTGCACATAAAAATACATTTAGCCGTTAAATTCCCATGTACAGAATAAAAAATACAAGTTAAATCTGTTTCCATCGCATTTTCAACTCTACTGATGGTTTTCCCACAAAACATGTTGCGTTATATAGCGAATGTACTCACTCTGATATTGGCACGTGCCAACAGCGCGCAGATTGTGGCTAGAGCGCACGTATAGCCTACAAAATGAGATTTTTATGGGGGGGTTTCCCTAGTCGTAGTGCGAGGACCACACACCACATTTCGTGACTCCAGATTTACTTCGATATAATGGTTATTATATGAATAATAGGGGCATAATGGCGTTTCCACCACCATTGCCGCGTAATTAATTTTACCGACACAAAAAGAACCCACCATGTCGAACAAACAAATTATCAGTCAGCATTGATAAAATGACATCGAAACTTCCTGTTTCTATCACACCTGTCATGATTTTTTATTAATAAGATATAACTTTACTTGCATAAAAACTGTGGATGGGAACATGGTTACTCTCTTAGAAAAAAGGTTCCTTTTATAGGGTTATTTGATCAGAACCCTAGAGGTTCTTCACTGAACCAACATGGTTCCAGATAGAAACCTGCATGGTGCCATTTATGAATTATGGCTACTTACTATTAAATAGTAATATTTTGAGCTAAGGATATTTTTAATATACAAATAATGTACAAACAAATACCGGCATCGTTTTTAGAATTTATTGTCATTATATGCAAACATAATATGGAAATATGTACTGGTGGGAGGCATCTCATTGTTTGAATGATGATCCATGCCAACCAGTGGCGGTCAGTGTCTTTTATGATGACAGAGGACGATTTATTTTTCTTCTCATGAGCATGGCCTTATATCTATTACAGCATGTTGGATGATTGTCATTCACATTCCATTCATCCAGTTCAATGTAACAGCGATAGGTTTAGGCTACTACATGATACTCACATTTTCCCTATACCCATCATGAGTTTGCTACAACCTATGAATGAAAGTTTACAACGTAGGTGCACACAGGTCAAGAGAACATTTTGAGATGACAGACAGTGACACATGGACAGACAGTGACACATTCAATACCACCTTGCACACTCTTGCCTGCATCTAGCTTAGCTAGGGTGTAATCATTAGTCCAACCGTTTCTGTTTGACAAATTCAGGTATTTTTATCCCCATTTCCATTTAAGAAACGTTTTTCCACAGAATTGGCAGAATGAATACACCCCATATCATGCATAAACAGAGTTCACTTTCATAGCAGCCACGTTGTATTTCTTCTCGCCTCTATGCACTCTCTTCCTCTCACCTTTTCCCTTCTTTTGTGGACTTCAATGGACAACACATCAGCTGTATGTGACCAGGCAAAAAAACCTTTCCAAGCCAAACCATGTCATAACCACTACACACAGCCTACATCGTTGTCCCCATATTAGCTAAAGTAACGTCCTAGTCAACATAGCTAATATAACTAATTCATTAGTGAACCCGCTACAATCATGCAGTAATGTTACAGTGTATAGTCAGTAAGCAGTTACACTGGCAGGCCCCGGTGGCAATAAATTAATAAAACCAAAAGCTTACCTTGACTTGGAAGAATTCCAGTATTGTGTTGGATAGTCATATCCAGCTAGCTAACATAGCATCCCTCTGTTTGAGCCGGGTGTTTGAGTAACTAAACTAGCCATCTGCATTTGCTAGCTAAGTAAGTGAAACTGAAAGTGAAAGTGAAAAAAAAAGACGTAATCTCTCTCTCTCTGTCTCTCTCTCTCTTGCTTTCTCCTTCAATTTTCAAGAAATTAATTTGTTGAAAACGGTTCAACTATTGTCTTTCTCACCACATTTTATGCACTGCAGTGCTAGCTAGCTGTAGATTATACTTTCAGTACTAGATTCATTCGCTGATCCTTTCATTGGGTGGACAACATGTCAGTTCATGCTGCAAGAGCTCTGATAGGTTGGAGGACGTCCTCCAGAAGTTGTCATAATTACTGTGTAAGTCTATGGAAGGGGGTGAGAAAAAATAGCATCCTAGGTTTTGTATTGAAGTCAATGTACTCAGAGGAGGATGGAAGCTAGCTGTCCTCCGGCTACAGAATGGTGCTACCCTACAGAGTGCTGTTGAGGCTACTGTAGACCTTCATTGCAAAACAGCGTGTTTTAATAAATTATTTGGTGACGTGAATATATTTAGTATAGTTGTTTGACAATTTTTATTTTTATGAAATTCACTGAGGAGGATGGTCCTCCCCTTTCTCCTCTGAGGAGCCTCCACTGATGTCAACTCTGGCTGACTTCTTTATAATACAATATACTTTGTCCATTTAGTTACAATGAACAACAAAAATGTGTCTTCTGCTCTGTTCTCAACTCCCCCAGAAAACAGACCTTACACATATAGTTGAGACTAGCACAGGTTCAAGCTGTATGCAGCGCC